CAGTGGAAGAGACATGTCTGTCCTCCGGTTGCAGGGGTGCCCTGCTGACGGGAACTGGCAGCGTCCTTCTGCGGGGCCCCCCGGGCAGTGGGAAGACCACAGCAGTGGCTGCTGCCTGCAGCCGCCTCGGGCTCCACTTGCTGAAGGTGAGGGTACCTGGAGAGTAGAACCCAACTGCTTCCCCTCCCCAGCCCAGCTTCTCCCTTCTCCCTCTCCCCTCTTCCTTCTGGCTACTAGCCTGGCTCTAACAGCGGGTCCTCAGCCCAGTGGGTCGCCATTTCCCTTGATGCTCAGCTCCTGAGAGATGCTTTCAAGGAAGGGGTTTCAGGATTTTGATGGACGGTCCCGGGAATGAGGTTGGGGTGAAGAAGAGGTGGGACTGGCCAGCAGTCCCTTTTTTCCCCGTCCCTGCCCTTAAAGAGAGGGGGCCTGCACCTCCTGACTCCTCCTCCCAGCCCCACCTGGCCCTTGCTCACAGGCCCACCCGGACGCCTCCCCAGGTGCCCTGCTCCAGCCTCTGTGCGGACAGCAGCGGGGCTGTGGAGACAAAGCTGCAGGCCACCTTCTCCCGGGCCCGGCGCTGCCGGCCTGTGGTTCTGTTGCTGACAGCCTTGGACCTTCTGGGCCGGGATCGCGACGGGCTGGGTGAGGACGCCCGTGTGGTGGCCACGCTGCGTCGCCTCCTCCTCGATGAGGACCCCCTCGCCAGGTATCCAGAGCCGGGCCCACCCCTCGTCCCTCTCTGCAGCCTTTCGTCCTCTAGCCTTCACCCGTCCCATGGCTTCTCCAGCGTCTACTGCCGATGCGGCTGCCCTCCTGACAGGCCCGAGGAGCTTAGGGGTACCCAGGGGAGGAGGATGTGGTCCCTAGTTTTTCTTGGGGAGCACTAGGTTGAAGGAAAAACACAGCCTCTGCCCTCAGTGAGCTCCCTGTGTGAGGGGGACACAGGCCCCCCTCGAGGTATTCCCATGGAGCCCATCCAGGCAGCCTGGGCTGCTCATCTCCTTATCCCATCTTAGCACCCACCAACCTCCCCGCCCTCCTGCCCCTACATCAGGACAAGGCAGTGCTCAGCTGCCAGCAGAGTTCTCCCCCAGTCCCCACTCCCTGTCCCCACTCTTAGTTCCCATTCCCTGTCCCCACTCCCAGTCCCCACTCCCTGTCCCCATTCCCTGTCCCCACTCCTAGTTCCCATTCCCTGTCCCCACTCCCTGTCCCCACTCCCAGTCCCCACTCCCTGTCCCCACTCCCCAT